AGTCACACGTAGTTTAATAAATATCTATATCCAGTTCAATTGTCTAAAGTCAGAAGTTTTGATAATGAGATAGAAATCGAAACAAGAATTATTACAATACAGGTGTTCTAATAATCTGTGGCCTTGAATTTATAATTATAATCAGTTTCTTAACAAGTATTATAAGTCCTATTAACTACTATCAATATCCGACCGTCATCTTTTCCAGGATGAGTAGACAAATTTAAACAGAGTACGTAGAATAAATCGAGTACGTAGGTAAATTAGAGTACGTAGCGCATTATACGAACAATCATCCAATCTCATATTGCAAGATGTCTTAATAATAACCATAAAAGACTTAAAATATCCATAAAAACATATGTGACCTAATGGTGCTTATAAAAACTGCCGCATGAATGCTCTAACCAAACAGAACTTCGCCATGGTCGATAATCACGTTTCTTTGTTATTTAATTGAACGACAATATTTTCCAACCTTTATTAGACTAAGTGCACACCAAATCTGATTAGAACGGATTATTTAGAAAGGATTTTCATTAAATGCAGCGATTCGAAGTCACTGTAGATATCCCACACTTCGAAAAAGCGTGTATCTCGTCTGATATAATGGAGGCTACTCATCCTAGCTTCCGGGATTTCCCAGACTGAAAGCCAATCGCATACATACACACACACACACACACACACACACACCTGTCTTTATTTCAAATGAAATAATCGTGTAAATGAGGTAAATCGACGATACATGTAATATTTTCAGTCTTTAAATCGCCCTTTGATCTGCTGCAGCGGTGGTCAACATTCAGAAATACATTGAACAAATATAAATAACCACTTTTTTTAAAATATCAAGTGATAGAAAATAAATTTCGACACAGAATCACAAAACCTCACAATTTATCGAAGAAAACGGTACGTCTTGTAGTCCGAAAACCACGGTATTGTCGATCAGATTCGCCACATTTGGGGCTTGAAACCGGGAACGTTCCAGTCCGCGATGCCACAGAGGTAACAATGCTACCTCTGAGCTATTGCATCCCAAGGATTCCAGAAGGTTTCTGGAGTTGGTACTTACCCAAAGTCTGCTCTGGGTCTGAATGATTGATTGCGATTGCGGGCACGCAAACTACTGAGGTCATTACTCCAGTAAGTGTAGTGTATGTTTCTCATGGTGAGGGGGCGGTGATCTTCCTCCGCTGGATGGTGAGATCCGGCGCCTATCTACCGTCGACTTTCCTGGTTTTCCCCAACCAGGTATCTCCCACCAGCGCGGCTTCTCCCCAGCTAAGACAAGCTCTAAGCCCCCGATCAGTCACACTCGGCATATGTGGTAGTGTAGTGCATGTTAGTGTAAGTGTGTGGGTGTGTAAGGGGGTAAGGATAGAACAAGGAAGAAAAAAAGAAAAAGTGCTCATGGTCCGTGGCTCGTTTGTTAGGGAACTGTGTTCGTCTGGTGGATTAGAGAAACTACGGAAAATTACCGGTTAGAGCAGCCAGCCGCTGGTATTCTCCTCAAGACAGTAACTGAATTCGACGTAGCTGACAAGTGTCGAAAACCCTGCCACCGTCGGGTTTAAACCTAGGATCTCCCTGTTAGAGGCACTGCAGTGACAGCAGTTGACACACTGAGCTACCTCTCCCGGTCCGTGAATTCAACCCAGCAATGTAGCTGATGTCAAACATTCGCCACATTTGAGATTCGAACTCACTTTCCAGTTAAGAATGCTGCGTCTGATATATTGCAGCCCAAGGATCCCCGAAGGTCTCCTGGGTCGGTATTTACCCAAGGGCCGCTCTGGGAAAAAGGCATATTTTCAACAAGAAGCTCCCTTGAAGATGTGAAACTTCTTTTAGCAAAAGTTCGCGAGAAGAAAAAGTAAAACCTGTCGTATCCTTTGCAGCTCCGAGGCGAAGATTCGTTTAAAAAAGAGTTCCTGACGCAAGTTCGTGACCTAATTGTTTTTAGGGACAGTTCAAATATAACCCTGCAAAATGCAGGTCATTTCAAAGTCTGTATTACCTCGGTTTTGGAGGTCAAGGGCAAAATTAAATTGAATTAAAAATCGTGAAATAGATATTTTGTCC